ATTTTTAAAAGGTATGTTTTGGGCTTGGCGCAGTAGCCTGGTGGCTGGGTTCCTTGCCTTGCACGCACTGCGATCCCATGTGGGCGCTGGTTCTTGTCCCAGTGGCCCTGCTTCCCATCCAGCTCCCTGCTTGTGGCCTGGGAAAGTTGTCAAGGACGGTCCAAAGCCTTGGGACCCTGCACCTGCATGGGAGACCTGGAGGAGGCTCCAGACTCTTGGCTTCAGATTGGCCATTGCGGCTGCTTGTGAATCATCAGACAGAAGATCTTCTCTGTTTTTCCTCTCTGTATGTCAGACTTTCCAATAAAAATAAAAATAAAACATCTTTTTTAAAAAAAGGCATTTTTCACCATTTTCATCTGTGAACAAGCCAGCATTGGTACTCACACTGACAAGCCAGAATTAATCAGTGTTATGTCTCACAACTGCCTGTGAATTTAAGTTATCTCAACAGGAAAAGTTCTATAAGGCCAGTCTCAAATTATGGCAGGGAAAGCCACTTCCTGTGACGCTGCCGACTCATAAGGGAGTACTGATTTTGCTGTTCTGCCTCTGGCTAGCTTTTTGCCACTGGGTCTGGGAATACAACTGGTTTTGTGTTCCAGCTACTCTACTTCCCATCCAGCTCCCTGCCCATGGCCTGGGAAAGCAGCAGAGGATGAACTAAGTCTTTGGGTCCCTGCACTCATGTGGGAGGCCTGGAAGAAGCTCCTGGTTTCGGATCAGCCCAGCTCTGGCTGGTGAGGGTATTTGGGGAGTGAAGCAGTGGATGAAAGATTTCTTTCTGTCTCTTTTACTCTGCTTTTCAAATAAAAAGGAAAAGAAAAAACAAATTGGAATTTAAAAAATTTGCAGTGTGTCACGGTCAAAAAACTAGACCCACAACTTTTGTTTTTCTTCAAACATTTTGTTTTTCTTCAAACATTTATTTGAAAAGCAGAGTTACAGACCAAGGGAGATAATGCGATCTTCCATCTACTGCTTGACCCCCAAACTTGCTGCCATAGTTAGGGCTGCTCAGACTGTAGCCAGGAACAATAAACTTCTTCTGGGTCTCCCATGTGGATGACAGGGGCCCAAGGATTTGGGCCAGATTCTGCTGCTTTCCCAGATGGCATAAGCAGGGTATTGGATTGGAAGTGGTACAGCAGGACTGCAACCAGAGCCCATACGGGAAGCCAACAGTGGTGGCTTAACCTGCTGTAACACAATATTGATCCCAAGAAAAAAACGTATACTTATCTCTGATGTTCCAAACTATTAATATCTACGAAGCAATAAGCAGGTGTCGTGTAATGAACTCTATTCATTAAACTGATTGTACTTTCTGTATAAATATTGCCAGATCAAATATGAAAGCCTTAAAAAAAAGGCAGATTTATGGAAAGAGGGAGAGATAGAGTGAATTCCCATCTTCTGGTTCACTCTGCAATTGTAGGAGTTTCATCCTGGCCTTCCACGTGAACACAAAGGCCCAAGCACCTGGACACGCTACAAGCCTGCAAACCTGGAAGCCTGAGAAATGTTAAAATATTTCAGTTGGCATTTTTCTGGAAGTCATGCTACCTCCTTTTAATTTTTTGTTGTTTTTGCTGTTGCCAGCTAATTTGTTTAAAAGAACATATAAAGATGAGCTCATATTTCTCAGGCCATTAATAGGGACCTAGATCGGAATTAGAGCAGCTGAGATAGGAACAGACATGCATAGGAGAGGCTGGCAGCTGGCCTCCAGTCCTGATCTTTAATGAATACGAACGAGTTTTGTTATACGGCCTGACCAGATGACCAGTGCTCATATTATTATCCAAAGAAGTTGAATTGTCATCGAAATATTTCTAGAATTGGGCTGGGGAGTTTTACAAGCTGCTTACGATTTTACTTAGCACTAAAATTACTGTCATCAGTTTATGCATAAGGGCAAACGCATTTTGTTCGAAAGAGAATGTTCATGTTCTAAAGTAATAATCATGACCGCCAGCTCTACTAAGACAAGCAGCTTGAGGCTCATGAATCAACCATGGATGAGCCTTCCTCTTTTGTCCTGTGCTCCAGCAGCCTTCTCTGAATTGCAGACCAGAAGGGAGCCCAGAAATCTCAATACAGACCCATGGGCTCAGTCCTTTATACTCTTCCAGAAAGAAATGTTCTTTGTTTGCTTCCATAGCTTCCAGGTTTTGACTGGAACAGCCAATTCCTAAGCATAATTTTCTTCCCCGAAAAACATTCTGTTTTGAAAAAAAATGCCTATATCTACTGGCTAGATATTAAAACCAGACACCTGAATCCAAACTAAACATGGTTGTTCATGACAGAAATATAATAGAATACATGGCATATGGATAAATGAAATCTTTTGCCTAAATTGAACACTCCTTGAATAAATCATGCTAGTTAGATGTGAGATATATATATCCTAAGTATTTCCCCTTCGTGTGGTTTATGATTTATCAGTTTGAAACTTGCTGATGCATTTAACTTGCCTCTTGGCTGCATACTCAAGAATCCTGTCTCTAGAGTCTGAAGTGCTGCTGAGCAGATACTGTGCAGACAGCTGGTTCTACAAATAATCATTAAGACAGCAGGAAATTCACTGGAGAAGTGGAGAAAACAAAACCAACTGAAGCCTAAATTTCTTTGACACATACTCAGCTGAAGGAAGAATTATAACCTAGCGTTGCTGATGTAAATCTAGAAGTCCATTCTGATGTCATTTAAGACAAAGTCTAAGAGATTAAGAGTCATCAAATCTAATGATGTGCCCTCTTTAAGATCTTAATGGATAAAACAACATAACAAGTATACAACCTAAATAAAAACTCTCTTAATCACACAAAATAGATTCTCTATAGTTGAAGTCTTTGATGTTGAACTTTGAGCCAACCTGCAAGCAACTTTTAATTCTTTCCTGTTCTCCACAAGATTACAGATTCCTAAATTGTGCTTAAGGTATGCTTCTCCTTTGCTACATGGAGCTAAACAAATCCAGTTTTGTGGAACTACATGCATATCTCATATCTTCAAAAGACTTTCTAATAAACATATAGCCCAACTACCAAAAAAAAAAAACCCACTATTGATATTTAGGAAGGTTTCCTATTTCAGGTATGGCTGTTTGATGGGCTGACATAGTTCTAATCAAACTATATATCTCTTATTTGAAAAGGAAGATTTTAGAAATGTTAGATAAATATTTTCCATGGAATGAAACCATCAAGTTATCTAACTCTAACGTTCCAAAATTTAACTATCCCTTTCAATTATTTGAATCACTAGACACTGAGATGCCTTCCAATTTTTGCTTTTGAAACAAACTTGTGGTATATCTCAGGATAAATCCCCATAATTTATAATTTCTAAACTGAATTATATTAAGATGTTTTATTTTACCTACATGCTGTTTCAAGTGTTCTATTTATTAACTTATAACCTGCAAACTATTAAATGTTCCACCAGCACATTAGAAGTATCTTTAAACACAAGGTTTACTTACACATTTAATATTAATTTTATATACACAATATTAATTTTATATACACAGCTTTTGAGGAATTTAGCATCAGGGTTTTACACTCAATTAGCCTCTACAAGTCTCAAATATACTACGCTGAACAGCAACTGAGGTCATAAAGCACAGTAATCTCATTTTAAGCAGTAACTACTTCAGAATGGAGCCATCAGATGGTAGTCTGCCATGAGGACAGGCAAAAACAGACTTCAAATTCTTTTCCAATGCTTTATTGCTATCTGTTGCTGTGTAAAAAACCACACTTTTCTTGGGAAGGCATGACCAGAGAAAAGATGAAAACGCATAACTGAACACAGGCGATCTGTTTTACAGGCTGCTGTAGGTGACCCCTGAGGAAAAGTTCAACTACCTTGAGGACAAGTATTTGGTTTAGGGTTTGGTGTTAAGTTAGCCAGGCCTAACTGCCTCCCCTTGGTCCCGGACTTTTACTTTACTAGTTTTCTTCCTTTTTTCTTATTTATTCACATGTTTTACACTTCATTAGGTGTCAGTATCCACAAATGGCACGTAGAAAGTAGTAATAATAGCAAAGAACAGAGAAAAAACTCGAAACAAATGTACTGTTTTTCAGATGTGTAAGCAAAGGCTGCACACAGCAATCAAGTCCCAGAGTGCCACTCTTGTGCCTCTAGGTTACTTGTTTTTTTTTTTTTTTTTTTTAAATCTCTGAATTACTTAGCACAGACCAAGTAGAACAGATATGTGTGCTTTTAGGACTGCCATTTTACTAAACATTAATAGTTTCAAACAACATCCACTTAGTTGCAAAAGATCTCATTATTCCCCGTTATTCTTGGGGCCAACCGGTCCTGCAGTCTCCATCTTTATCAGGTGTGTTTTACACCTGCTGAGGATGGGACATGAAGCTGGGGATTAGAGTGGGTAATCCAGCAGCATCTCAGATTCTTTCCTGGTTTGAAGTCACTAAACGTAACACACATATCACCTGTTTAAAGAAAACAGAAACTCCAGTTCTCCTCATCCACCTTTCGCGGTAAAACTCAAAAATCAAAGAGCTGATTCAGTTCTACAACAAAACCAGCTCAACACGCCCGATAACTTCCTGGAGCTTTTGTACTCAGCAGTAATCTGTCGACCCAAAGGATGACCCCTCGAGAGGCCAAGGGCGGCCCGGCTGCACGCATGCGCTCCACCATCGCGTCCTCTTTCCCCCGTGGACATCCAAGCGTGGGGGTCGGAGGGAGGGGTTTCGGGTCCAGCCGGAACTACAACTCCCAGCATGCCGGGCGGCGCAGGGACGGACCGTCGGGAGGGCGCAGGCGAGGATCTCGCGGGGGCTAGCGGGCCAGTGAGGGAGCTCCTCCTTTGAAGCGGTTTTGCGTCTCTCGCAGCCTGCGGCGTCGGCGCTCACGCAGGGGCGGGTGACGGCGGCGCGGGGCAGTGCTGGGCGGGAAGGAACGTCGTGGCGGCGGCGGCGGCGGCCGGGGCAGGGACGGCAGCGGAGGCGACGGCAGGGACGGCAGGAACGGCAGGAACGGCAGGAACGGAGGCGCTGTCTGGCCGTCGGAGAGATGGGAGACCCGGGGTCGGAGGTGAGTGTGGCCGCGTCGGGCCCCGCGTCCTGCGAGCCGCCCCGCGCCGAGGCTGGCGTTGTTTTCTGCGGGCGGAGGCCTGTCAGGCCTGTGGGGGCGACGTCTCTCATCCCTGTCGGGCCGAGCCCCCGGGTCGGGCCTGCCGCCTGTGGGTGCCGAGGAACCGGCAGGAACAATGGCGGCTCCCACTCCCCGCGCGCGGGTCGCCGGCCCCTCTGCAGCCGCGGCTCTGCCGGTGGCAGCGACATCTTGGGAGAGCATCGCCCTTCGTCTGGCTTCCTGCTCGGGGTCGCCGGGGCGGGGGGCATTCCAAACACCGGTGTTCGGAGGAGTTTTGATGGCAGGTCGATGTGCGTGAAGCTGTGGGCTCTGTTTACCTCCCAGAAGGGCTTTTTTTTTTTTTTTGCTTTAATTGTGCTTTCTGGAAAAGGCTCTCGAGAGTGTGTAGCTGAATGTTAAGCGTGTTTTGGCTTGTTTTTATAGATAATAGAATCTGTCCCTCCAGCTGGGCCTGAAGCATCTGAGGCAGCAACGGATGAAAACGAAGACGACATTCAGTTTGTTAGTGTAAGTGGCGACTCATAGCCTGGGGTTCCCCGTTGCGATACCATAAGACATTCCGGAGTTAGATAGTCGGTTTCCACAAATGTTTAGTGAAGTCTGATGCACCTGCGTCCTGTGGCGTGGGGCAGCGGGTGTCTGAGCAAGCACAGTGGCTGTCACCTAGAGTGAAGCCGAAGAAGGGCGGTACACCTGGTTGCCCTCCCCACGCCTTCCAGACTAGGAGTCTTGGAACTGACGCAGGTGTCTGGAAGAATGACCCACAGAGGGATGGGCTGGCTGTTGCTGAGGAGGTGGGAAAACAACAGGGATTCCAGAATCTTAGCATTGTATAGCTTCAAACTTGGAAGCTGAGAATTTCAAGGCTTCACTGCTCTTTGAGCTCCCAGCGAAGAAGCCTGCACCTCCAGGAGCATCTGCGTTGGCCTGAGTTTATTCCGCTTTAGGAGAGTGGGGATCTGGTAGGATTCCACAAAACAGGCAGATTCCTGAGCTCTTCTCCAGATGTAACAAGTCAGGATTTTCCCAGGGGTGGAGGAGGGGTGTGGAGTAGTGGGAATCTTTGTTTTGAACTAAATGCAACACCCGTGAACACACTTTGTGAAGTATTGCTTTGGGAAGAAAGGTTTATGTTGCACTTGAGGAGAGTTTTCATCTATGGCTTGAAAAAAGTTTCATAATCCTTGCCTTCATAGGGATAATGTTAACTGGAGAGCAGTTCTCCAAGCGGTGCTCTCGGAGTGCTGTGGTTCCTTACAGTGTAGTACAGGGTCTGTCTGATGTGTATTTGTGATTGTTAAATAATAATCTTCACAACAATGGGCATTGGCGTCTGTTGGATGGTGTTAATGGATTTTTATGAAGGGAGTTAGAAGAAGATTTTATTCTTACATCTTATCCTTAGCATTATTTTTTTAAATCAAATCATGAATGTATTCATTTCTCATTTTGAACTTGCAGGGAATTGGTGTGGGAGTGAGTTGTGTGTTTCCCCTTTGTCGTTTCCATGGCTCTTTAGGACTAGTATTTCAGGTTTGATTTGTAAAAACATCACCTCTCTGATCTTTCATGAAAATAAAAATTGGAATGGCACATTACTGTATGAACTTTGTACCTTTGAGAAACATCTGGAAAAATGTTTGTTTTGTGTCCTGTACAATGAAGAATTGCATTGTGATTTGTGACTAGTTAAAACAGGCTTGCGTTTAACCAAGATTTAAAGATATTTTTTACATTTTTGTTTTACGTAAAAAGAATTTTTGCATCAAAAATAAACAATATGTAATCAGTAGTGTATTGTACTTTCAACCTGATGCGACATGTTAAATTTATCTTTGTTTCCAAATACAGATTCAAAGGTTTGACCAATGCAAGTGCAGTACTAGAAGAAACATTAGAATTCTTTTAAAAGATTTATTTATTTTTATAGGAGAGGCAGATATACAGAGAAAAGGGGAGAGATAGAAAAACCTTCAGTCTGCTGGTTTATTCCTCAAATGGCTGCAACAGCTGGAGCTGAGCTGAACTGAAGCTGGGAGCAAAGAGCTCTACTGGAGCTCTCACATGGTGGCAGGGTCTCAAGAACTTGAGCCATTCTCTCTGGCCTTCCCAGTCCTTAAGCAGGGAATTGGATGGGAAATGGAGCAGCCGGGGACACCAGCCAGTGCCTGTATGTTTTGCTAGCACTCATGTAGAGGATTAGCTTATTGAACAATCTTCTATCCCCTATCTATTAGAAATTTTTTCCTGAGCTGAGTGTTATGCCACCACAAGTTAAACCACTGCTAAGAATGTCTGCATCCCATGTTGGAGTGTCTGAGATGGAATCCTAAGTTCTCTGGTTCTGATACTGGTGATGTACAGCCTGGAATGCAGCAGGTAGTGGTCCAAGAGTTTGAGTTCTTGCCACCCAAGGAGGAGACCTTAATTGTGTGCCTGGTTTCAACCTGGGCCAGCTCTAGTTGTTCCATCCTTTTGGGGAGTCAGTAGGTGGAAGATTCCCACTACTGCTGGTCTTATACATTGTCTTTCCAATAAGGAAATCTTAAAAAAAATAAATCACTTGTTTTTAAGCATACCACTAAATGATAAGTGATGATAGCTTAATTCTGTTTTAAAATACAATCTTCTCTGTTACCAGTGCTTGACTCCTTTGGATAATGCTTACCTAATACAGATAAAAAAACAGTTATCTGTATAAGTTACTTGTATTATTTAGATACAGAAAGTATTATGTCACTTGTTGACTGTACTGATTTTAGCTTTATTAATCCAGTTTTCTCATCTTTGGTCTACCTGGTAATGTAGCATCATCTGTATGAATACAGAGTTCTGGCGTACTCACAGGATGCTGAAGTCATGGGAAGCTGTAGATGTGGAATAATTATAAAATTTAAAGCTTATTGAAACATGTAGAAAAGTGTACAACTTGAAAATATGTTAAATTTTTGCCAGTTCACACCTGTGTAAACGTTTTCCAAATCAAAGAACAGAATGTTGTCAATGCACATTTTTCACTAAAATAATGTTGCTTTCATTTTCTGTTTAGTAAAGTCTCCAATATTCAGTCAATTTCTGTATGTCTTTCTTTTTAAACTGTGGACATTTCCTCAGGCTTTTTCCAAAAAACAAAAAAGAAATCTTTAAGAAATTAATGCTTGTTTGAGAGACAGAGAGAGGGAAAAAGAGATTTCCTATCTGCTAATTCACTCCCCAGATGCCTGAACTGCTAGTGCTGGGCCAAGCCAAGCTGGAATCAGAACCCCAAATGTCAATGTGAATCTCCTGCATCTGTGGCAGAAAACCAGAAAACTACATGTTTTCAACTGGTACTTCTCTGGGGTGCACATTAGCAGGAAGCTAGAATCAGAACTGGAGCTGGGACTCAAACTGAGGTACTATCTGTATGGGATTGAGCATCCCAGGATGGTATGATTGTTTACTGTGCTACCATGGGCTTCTGAAAGAACATGTCATACTTTTTGTAATAGTATAGGGGTTTTAGGTTTACACTACGATTATTGGTACAATGTGAAATCATTGAACACATGCATCTTAGCAAAAGGAAGTAAAAATGCTATTTAATAACTAAGATCATAGTTTGCATATTAATAATTGAGCTGTAGGCATGGGCATTGGCACAGTAGTTAAAGTACTTCAACACCTGTAAGGGACTTTCTGGCTTTTGATTCTACATCCTCCTAATAAACACTCCCTGTTGGCCACAGGTCATGGCTGATGTAATTGGGTCCCCACTGCTCTAGTGGGTTCCTGGGAGAACCAGCAGATGAAAGATACCAATCTATCTTTTTCTCCTGCCTTTCCTAAAAAAAAGAAAACCCCCTACAAACCCTATTGGCTATAGAAGGAAATGTTCTGACAATATGTCTTCCATTGTAACGGGTTCACTAAATAAATCCAGTGTGAAAGTGCTGATGCAGGAGTTAAGTACATTAGAACCATACAGATTCAGGGCCCGGTGCAATAGCATAATGGTTAAAATCCTCGCCTGGGATCCCAGATGGTCACCGGTTCTAATTCCAGCAGCCCTGCTTCCCATCCAACTCCCTGCTTGTGGTCTGGGAAAGCAGTCAGGATGGCCCAACACCTTGGGACCCTGCACCCGTGTGGGAGACCTGGAAGTGGAAGAAGCTCCTGGCTCCCAGCTTCGGATTGGTGCAGCTCCAGCTGTTGCGGCTGCTTGGGGAGTGAATCATCGGATGGAAGATCTTCCTCTCCTCGTCTTTGTATATCTGACTTTCCAATGAAAGTAAATAAATCTTAAAAAAAAAAAAAAGAAGAACCATACAGATTCATTGCATATATATCCTAACTTCAAGTATCAGTGGCTTAGTTTAAGTGATGAAATTGTGGATTAAGAGTATGGAAATAGTTTTAATAGATGGTTAGAGTTTTTTCTTTCTTTTTTTAATATAAAGTACAATATTTTTTTTAAAGTATGGATTATCACTATGGCAAAGGAAGTAGTTACTTGTATTTGTGTAAAAGGACATTTTTGGGTAGAAGAAAAATGGACATGTTATTCCAAATTTGGGAACAGTTGGGAATTTTGGAGGCTAGGTTTGTTTAAGTGGGAGAGATGTACCATAAGGTAGAGGTCATAAATAATGGACTTTAGAACCGTAAAGGAGGCAGAGAAGAACTGTTTTGGAATTTTGAACTGAGCAGTATTGCAAAAATTTTTACTCTCATATTGAGGAATAAAAAACCATGCAATTTAGAGTTTTTAGATTTGCATCTTTATACTTAATTATTTATACCATATTCATTTACAATCCTTATACCATATTCTCTGTTTAGAGAATTGTTTGAAGTAAACTGCTGTTTTTGTAGATCACATCTTTGTTGCTGTCTTTTTGCAAATTGTAGAAAATTGTTTTGGATTGGAGAATTAGTTTTCCAGTAACAGCCAATTTGATCTTTTTATTTCACTAGGAGACTTTAACTTAGTGTGTTAGTATAGGTGTGTTCCTAAATTGTTTTACTGTGCTGTGCCTCTTCTGCTAATTTGTGTGATGTTAGGAATTTAATTCTTGGACTTTGTTATTGGTTACAAGAGGGGATGAAAAATGATTAGTTGAGAGGATATTCAGATCAAACAACTTAGAGGATCACATACAAAGTAATAGTTTCTCACAATATAGAAAAATTGTGAATATTAAATCATATCATGTATATAATCAGTTTTGCATGTTACAGGCTCAGTTAATGTCCTCTGTTGACAATAAAATAAATGGAGTATTGCATGTTTTGATTCTTTAATTATGTTGAAAGCTTTTTCATATCTACTAAAATTTGGTATTACAGTATTTGCATGCAAATATTTTCTGCTGGAATATTTATGTTTCCATGAAGCATTAAGGAGGGGTTTTTTTGTTGTTGTTGTTGTTTTCTTGGTAATTTCTAGCAGACTTTCCCTTAATTTACCACCTCTGTCATTTCTAACTTAATGATTAAATACTGAGTGAATGAATAGATAGTCTAAATCAGTTAAGCTTTTTGTCATCTAAAAATCCTTGGTTTTTTTTTTATTTTCTTTATTAATGTGAGTCATGAATTGTTTCTTTTGTGCTTCTAAAGTGGTTGCACATCTGTGTCATGTTGTACTCCAGTAGTAAACTTCTTGTAGTTGTTTTCTTATCCATACTCTTGTTCTTTCTACTGCTTCTGCAGCTACTTTTAAATCCTGTTTGTGACTATTCTCCTTATTGCTTAATTTTAAGCCTATTTTATTTGCTTTATTGTCATATTTCATTGCTCTTTCATCTTTACCTTTTCTTTTGAAAGTTCTGTGCTGCCCTAAGAGTTTTCTTAGGTTACTCTTTCTGTGGGCCTGTGATAAAAGGTTGTAAAGCATGTTTCTCTTTTTTTTATTATGAGTTTTAAAATTATAATTTATTTGAAAGGTAGCATTAGAGAGATGTTCCATCAGATGATTCACTCCCCAAATGACCATGATGATCACACTGCGCCTGGCCAAAGCCAGGAGCCTGAAACTATATCTGGGTCTCCCACAAAGGTGGCAGAGGCCCAAGCACTTATGCCATTTTTCACTGTCTTCTCATTTATCAGGATGCTGGATTGAAAGCAGAGTGTCCAAGGGTTGAACTGGCACTCATATGGGATGCTGGTGTTGCTGGCAGTGGCTCAAGCCCTTGTGCCACAGTGTTCTCTAATGTGTGTGCTGGTTCACCTTTCCCATCACCTTGCTGGTTCTGTATTGCGTTCCTTGTATTTATTAGTTACCTGGCTTTCCCCACTCTCCATACCTGTTTATGTTATTAGTCTTGTTGAAACACGGCTCTCAGTGTTATTCCCATCTTATTTATTCTCTTTTTGTCTAGAATAAAATCTAGGGTTTTAAATCCTGTCTGTAAAGAGTCATCATAATTGGGAAGGATGGCGAAGACATTTGATATGGAGTCTGTAAGAAGTGGGGTAGAGTTGCTATGTCCGTATTAGCACTGCTCCTGTATTTTCTTCTTTGGAAATAGGTGTGGCCCTAATACCTTATTTATCTGGGTTTAGGCTTTTCCTGTTAGTGTGTTTTTTGATTTGCTTTGTTTTTATTATTTTTTTTTGAAGATTTATTTTTATTGGCAAGTCAGATATACAGAGAGGAAGATCTTCTTTCTGTTGATTCACTCCCCAAATGGCCTCAGTGGCCAGAGCTGAGGCTATCTGAAGCTAAGAGCCAGGATTTTCTTCTGGGTCTCTCACACGGGTACAGGGTCCCAAGGCTGTGAGTCATCCTCAACTACTTTCTCAGACTGCAAGCAGAGAGCTGGATGGGAAGCAGGGCGCCAGAATATGAACCTGCGCCCATATGAGATCCTGGCACGTGTAAGACAAGGATTTTAGCCACTAGGGTACCAGGCTGGTCGCTTGTTTTTAAGATTTATTTATTTTTATTGGAAAGGCAGATTTGTTAAGGAAAAGAGAGAAAGATCTGAACACTGCAGCCCCAAATGACCACAATGACCAGAGCTGAACCTATCTGAAGCCAGGATCCTCCTCTGGGTCTCCCATGTGGGTGTAGGGTCCCAAGGTTTTTAGCCATCCTCCACTGTTTTCCCGGGTCATAAACAGGGAGCTGGATGGGAAGTGAAGCATCTGAGACACTAATTGGCAAACATGGGATGCAGTTCTTGGAGATAGAGGATTAGCCAGAGCCATTGTGCCAGCTCCTTTTAGGTTTTGTTGTCATTTCCTTATTTGCTCAGAACATTTTCTTTTGGTCTAGTTACTTTGTTGCTACTTTGGTTGAAGAATTCTTGTCCATCCTAAAAACATTTATTGTTTAAATGCCGCTTTAATTTGCAGAACTGTTTATGACTTACATACATATGTTCAATTCTTTTTTAGGAAGGACCTTTAAGACCTGTTCTTGAGTACATTGATCTGGTTAGTAGTGACGATGAAGAACCTAGCACCTCTCATAGTGATGTAAGTATATTACATTTGCCTTGCATTTCTTCCCTTGTGTCTCTTAAGAGCCATTGTCAAGTAGCTTAATCCGTGGTGGTGGTGTTTAGCAGCCACAGTGCTTTAGAGAATGGCCCATTCCTGTTATAGTGAACCATAATGTGTGGTCAGGGGAGTTCTCTACCTGAAACATCATCTTCGATTTTTTTTCTCTAGCTTCAATGAAAAGATAACATGACTTCAGAAAGTGCTAAGCCTAGGAGGTGATTCTTGATAAAGAGGAAACCCTGGGAAATCTGCAAGTTGATTAGCTTCCTATTGCTCTTCCCTTTTGCTGATTTTCCTCAGGCTACCTATAGAATGTAATCTTTCTCTTAAACTATGTGACCATAGAAAGTTTTTTCTTAGAAGAAAAGGATATGTGATGATCCTTTAGGAAATAGAAGTGGGCAACCTTTTATAGGTGATATGTTATTTCTGATCTCTTTCAGCCTCCTTTCCATGTTTGGAGTTATTTATTTTATTGTGACTTACTAAATGTGGGTTTGACCTTTAACCCAGTACTTTGTTATTCTGGAAATGGAATTGGGCCGTTTGTGGCAATCTTGGCGCTCATTTCTCTTTGTCTTAACCCAGATTTTTACTAGTGGGCTGTTTGTTGATGGATTAGGGAATTCCTGGCACTTGCTCGTAGTGCCCAAAAGCATCTTGCTCTGTATTACAAGGGGTTAAAATTTGAGTTTGGAATACCTGGACTTAAGATACAGTTTACTAGTTTTGTGATTTAAACTACACCTTTTAGCCAGTGATGTTTTTTAACCAATTAAAAAAAATACCTACCTCACAGGGTTGTTGTGAGGATGAAATGGGATAACATATATCTAAGCTAGCATTTTAAATCGGTAAGCTTAAAAGTTAGGATTGTACAACAGAAGTTTAGTTATCCATGGTGAGTATATGGCACTGACTTTGAAAGGACTTAAAAACAACTTTGTTAAGACAGTTTCAGTTAAGTTTGTTTCTTTCGGTGGAGCTTTACTCCAGTTTTCTGTACCATCATTAGCTTCCACTTGCTGGTTTATATGTTGAAGCGATGTTTTTCTTTTAATTGTTATTGCCTTGTGGTTGTACCGTCTCTTCTTATTCTTGCACAGGACCAAGTAGCAGGCCAGCATAGCACCACTTGAACTGAGCTAGTTTTACTCATTTTTAGACACCTAGATTAATGCCAATAGTCAATGCTGGAGTGGTAACTTCAGATTTTGACCTCTGTGATCACTTTGATGACCTGTGTGGATTATGTCTTTTGTTGTTAGTTGTAATAACTTAAAAAAAATGAGTGCTACTTGCTGGACATGCATCTCTGCACTTGAAAGTTAACATATTAAAAAGCATATTTTTTTTCTTCCTTGGTTTTCTTGTTCATGTGGATAACCCAGAGAATGCCTGAATCTAAGGTGCCATCCTCTGAGAATCATCGCCCAGAAATGTGCTCTAGCTGCAGTCCTCCTCTTGCCGTTGGAGACAGCAGCTCCTCCTTAGGGAGTTGCTCCAGCAGTCCTCAAAGGATAGTTTCTCCACCTTCCTCTGTTGAGAACCCATTGGAGAAACAGAAAAATGATCAAAATAATTCAGATATTAAGATTTCTGATACAGAGACACTTAAACCATCAGAAAATGATCAGAGTCTGCCTTCACCTTCTCTTCTGATCCCCCAAGAATCCTTGACTTCTTCTGAGGTTAAGGAGGATTTACCTGTAGAGTCGTCTTCAGCTTCACAGCCTGGACAGGATGCTATCCTCTATCTCCAGACCCAAGTGGCAGAGATGTCCCGAGTGATTCGTGACCTGCAGTCTAGGAGCTGTTTTCGATTTCATCATTCTAGACCAAATGAGAACTCCTCAGTTCCTTGGGACATACCTACCTCTAAAGAAGAAAATTTATCCACCGTTGAAGAAGAGCCTGATTGTAAATCTCCATCAGCTGATGACAAAGGGCAGCCAGCTGACCCCAGCCAATCTAGTTTCACAGGTCTTTTGAAGAGAATGGAGCAAAGAGGTGTTATAAAGAGGGTAACATTGCAGTCTGAAGCAGAATCATGTGAAGGGAAACCTGATTGTGTGACTTCTAAAAAACGTCTGGTTCCTCCATTGCATCCTCTCTTGAGAATTGCCACTACTGAGGTTTTTAAAGACCCTGCTGATTGCCATCCTTCTTCCTTCATGGGACACAGGGTGTATCCTGTGGCTAAGGACACCTCTCCTTTCCAGCCAAATCCACCAGCTGAGGGCCCTATTGTAGAAGCATTGGAGCACAGCAAAAGAGGAAGCACAACATCCCCTCTTGATTCTACCTCAAAAGAAATGGAGGTCATGGGTTGTAGGTTCTATCATGCTGCCTCAATTGCAGCCCGAGCTGCTAGCTACATGGCTTACATGACTCAGTATCAGCGTAAACTCTGGGAAGATATGGAGGATCTGGTTCATGATCCAGAGTTTGATCGTGGAAGAGCAAGATGCATAATATCTGATGGTATGGATGCAGGCCTTTGGCAGCTTTGTACTACTAGGGACATCATGGACTCTGTAGTCAGAGTTATGGCCATGGCAATAGACTACAGAAGGCAGGCCTGGCTCCGACTTACATCTCTGAGTAAGAAAACTCAAGAGAAGATCTCACACTTGCCCTTTGATGGCACTTCCCTTTTTGGACAAGATGTGAATGCTGTAGTTGCAGAAGACAACAATATAAAAGAAAATGACTATAAGGATCATAGGTACTATACCCAGCATCGATATTTTTATAGTCATGATCAGAAAGCACACTATTACAATAGAGGATATTCTAAAGGGGATTGGTACAAACCCCGAAACCACCCATATAGATATAGAAAAAAGGGAGACTCTCCAGAACGCCATGGATACAAGAATTAGTAGTGTATTCATGTATAGCCAGTTGTTCAGGAACCTGTTTGTTCCTTCCCATGGAAGCAAATCTGCAGATGGGAAACATCAGAACTGTTTGGAATGGTCCAAGGTGGTGTTTGGATTCTAGACTTTTGGAATGAAGAATGTAATAAAGACTCACACTTTTGGCCAAGTAAGCAATGAGAACTTCTGTAAGTAGGTTTGGGCAAATGTTTACCCATGATTTCTAAGAAGAGGAGGATGAGGGCACTCAGGAATCTGAATCCTCTTGTGGTTAAAGAAATATATGTAAATTGTTTCCCAGGAAGACTTACTGGTAAACTGAGAACTAGCAAATTTTGAGTCTGGAAATAAAGTACCAGTAGGTCTCCAGTTACTAAAACCAGAAATCTTCATCTTTAGGTCATCAGTTCTTTCTTGATCAACTAAAGCTTGGCAGATTTTTTAGAAAGTGAAACATCTATTACAGTTTCTGTCAAGACTATCAACTCTCCGAGAGTTAACACTACTATCAAGCTCTGTGAGACTTCAGTATCAGCTATGAAGTTTTGTCAACTGGAATTCAAATCAAATTTTGCCAAATCTACTTTGTATCTAGGTGGAATATCTGTGTGGGTCTACTGTGGACATGAGCTGGAAAAGGACCATTTGACCTATTACATCTCTAGACAATTTTCACAGTAACTATCTTCATCAAGATTGATGGTTACCATACTATCCTTTCATAAAACTACATGTCAGAGAAATGCTTGTTGTCATCAATTCCAATAGCCTTTGACTATTCTGAGATCAAATCTTCATGGTTTCTCATCGGGCCTATCACCAAAATGGCCTTCTTAGACCTACTTTCAAACAAGTTAATTGTTTTCTAGCTTGATAGTGTATAACACTTCAAATACAGAAAGAAATGGGCACCTTAGTGCCCTGAAAATAAGGATGCTATCTAGGCATGCAGCCCTGAACTCTTAATTAAGAGCAGAAATTTTAATCATGCCTCGTAGTCTGCTTCCCTACTGTAAAAGAGGGATGCCATCAGTCTGCATTTGTTGAGAAATCTTGAGATTTAGAGAATAACTGGATATAAGGAAAAAGAACAAGCGACACACTTCTGTTTCTGGATATCTACTTAAATAATGATATCCATGAATAATTTTCTTGAAGTCAAGACTTCTGTGTTGTGGTCTTGGTTAATTGATTATTTAAGCTACTCAGACTCACCATGAGAGATGACTTATCTTTTTGCTCTCAATAGTATTTTTCCACCATCTGGAACTAGCAGCAAATACCTCAGTTATGTTTCTGACAATATCTTCCATTTAATCTCAAAGCAGTGGCTATATCTTGTGTAAACCCCTTACAACATGTTTTCAGGAATAGAGAAAATGTCAAGTTTAAGGGGTCTGAATGAATATATCATCTGTTATTATCTGCTTGACAGCCCCCCAGAAATGTTTCTAATTGACAGACTTATGATTCGGAAGTTTCTTGATTTGTTAAACACCTGCTTTTTAAATCTTCTTTCAGTCTGCTTGATCATGATGTTTTGGGTATATGCTATTAGTGGAATATAGCACTGATACAGAATGTGTGTGGTTTTTGTTGTTGCTGTAGTTTCTTGCACAGTGGTGATTGATATTTTTCCTAGTGCCCAACTTTTTGATAGTTTTTGAAAGTTCATATCTGTTCCCTATCATAATTGTGTAGCAGCAGCCCGTTTTAAATCTACTTTCCTTTCTCCTATTTTTGTGCCGTAAAGGTAAAGGTACCATTTCCACCTGAGAGATTTGAGATAAACTCATACTGCCATATTGATCCTGTTCATCCTATTTGCAGATTGACTGAATAAGTGTTGATAAATCATATCCTTTTGCAAATTTAACCAAGTAATATCTAGAGTTAATATTTATTTTACTAATGTTTTCAGAAAGCTTTAACTTTGATTTCAGTAGGTCCACGCCAGTTCTCTACAACTGAACTATAGGAAGACATTGATTACCTGAGGGCCTAAGAAGTAATACGCAGATCATCAAGCAGACTCATGCCCTTGATTGTAGTTTTTCTTGTGTGAAAATACTACAAGGGATTTCACTGGATGGACAGATTTTGGAAACATTTTATGTGGCTGCACATGAATATTCCTGTTCAGCTTGGGATACTTTAAACTGTTCGACTTTTCTGTTTCTCTCCATTTCTTCCTTGAATTAGGGTGCTGTGTCACAAACTTGGTGATTTTTGAGATACCCTTATTTTCCAAAATCTAAACAAAAGTAAATAGTGCTTGGAGGAATGATGTCTGAAACTGCTTTTGACGTTTTGCTTATCATTTTCCTACTTTGCTTTTTTTTTTTTAAATTGTGGTAAAAACCGCATAAAACTTAGCACCTTAACCATTTTAAGTGTATATTTCATTATTGTTAACAATGTTATCATTGTGTAGCTCCTCAAGTATTTGTAAAACAATATCACTATTTTCTGATATTTATGTTGCTCAGTAATAAAGTAAAAGTAACTTTGTGTAATCTCTCTTGTTGGTATACCTGTGCGTCTCCAGGGAATTTAGTTTTTCTAAAAGTGAAAAAGTACTGGGAAATAATCATCTTACTGGCCAAACAGTAACTTCAGAACATATTTGACACTTGAGTTAAAATGGGGACAGTTTTTAGCTATGCATTTGTTTTGTGACTACAGAAATAGTCATTTTAACTTGTTTATCTTTTTTACATTGTATAAGTTTCCTCTGTCGTTTTTAAATGGTGTTTTAAAACTAGATTGATATTTGATCTAGGTAGGCAGCCCAAATACAGTAGGAAATGTTGCAATTAGATAATAGCATTACAACTACCCTGTGCAGAACCTGCAACAAAATTCTTTATTGGGCTAACTTTCTGGGAATAGTTGCAAGTTTGATGATTTGGTATTCTTGAAAGGGAAGTTTTAAATCTTTTTTCTTAAAAAGTTATTTCTTGTTATAAATTGTATGGGACAGTAAAACTTAACAGTGTGTACAGAATAATACTGTTTCCTTTGTTAACAGGAAGTACCTTTTAAAATTCCACAGTTTTGTTGGGAAGGTCTTTATGTCTTCCATGTATTGTTGATAGTATTTACGTGACTACGATGATTTGATCTTTTATTTTTGTCACTATTGTATTGCACTATCTAAATATACTCTTCCTTCTGAATGGTTTGTATTTATAGCACTGTCCATTTCAGAAGCTGATAGGCTATACTTCCTTCCCTCTTATTTATTAACTTCACAGAAATAATTTTTAATTACTAGTGATTGGTTCAGTTTTCTGGGCTATTAAGGCAACTTCGTTTTCTGTTCTTAGGTTTTAGGTTTTCTGATTGAGTCATTTGTCTTGTGTCTCCCCTTGTTCTTTAGCCATGGTAATGTAACTTCTGTCTGATAAGTGTTTGTGTAAACTTGGTCAGGAGGAGCGGACATTTAAAACAGTAAATGTGCTGACACTTTTTTTAGACTGTGTGACAGTTTTCTTAGTATGATCACATTTAAACAATTTTTCTTTTTAATTGTGTGGCAACTTGTTTATCAGTGTAATTTCATTTTTTGGTAAGACCTGAAGATGGGAACATTAGTTTTCAGGCTACTTGGATATTAGTGCTCTTAGTGCTGCACTGATAATTAATGATATTAAGTGACATGATTAATATCTGCTTGGGCCTAGTACATTGGGGCTAACTTCTCAGGTGGTATAAACAAGGAGGTTGAAAAAGACCCACAGCAGAATCTCTTCTGAGTTTAAATTGAGATGCTGATATGGACATGCATTAGTAGTAGTAGTATTTAAATATTTAATTGAAAGATTTACACGGAGAGGTTATCCCATGGTTCACTCCAGATGGCTATAAAGGCCAGGCTGAAGCCAGGAGCTTCATCTGGGTCTCCCACATTGGTAGAAAGAGCCCAAGTACTTGGCCCATCTTCTGCTGTCGTACCCAGACCATATCAGGGAGCTGAATTGGAACTGGAGCAATCAGGACATGAGTAGGTGCCTATATGCAAAGCCAGCATTGTGTGTTTTACCCTGTTTGTCACAATGCCAGCCCCAACACTGACTATTGAATGTTGAATTGGGATTCTGATGAAACTGTTAAGTAGGGATTAAATCTTCATAGTAGTGGATTAAGGGTTACAATAATGAAAATCTGTTTGAGGCATTTTTGCCCAGTGTTAGCGGGTTTTTTTTAAAATTTATTTTATTTAATTTTAATTGGAAATGCAGATATACAAAGAGAAGGAGATACAGAGAGACAGATATTTCATTTTCCTCGTCACTCCCCAAGTGGATGCAACAGCAGGAGCTGAGCCAATCCAAAGCCAGGAATTAGGAGCTTCCTTCAGGTCTCCCATATGGGTGCAGAGTTCCAAGGCTTTGAGCCATCCTCTGCTGCTTTCCCAGGTCACAAGCAGGAAGCTGGGTGGGAAGCGAGGACTTTAGCCACTAGGCTACCATGTCAGGCCTGCTATTGTTTTGAAAAAATATTTATTTATTTTATAATTGGAAAGCCAGATATACAGAGAGGAGGAGAGACGGGAAGATCTTCTGTCCATTGATACACTCCCCAAGAGACCGGAACGGCTGGAGCTGCACTGATATGAAGGGTCTTTTTAGGTTCCCCATGTGGGTGCAGCGTCCCAAAACTTTGGGCTGTCCTCTACTGCTTTCCCAGGCCACAAGCAGGGATGGATAGGCAGCTGTGCCCTGGGATTAGAACCAATGCCCACACGGGATCCCAGTGCATGCAAGGCGAAAACTTTAGCCACTAGGCTACTGTGCTGGGCCTGCCAGTCATATCATTTTGATGTTAACCTGTTAATTTACTGTTTTGATCTTTTTTTCCTCTTTATACAATACTTATTTGCAAAAGGGTTCCCAACCTCCTCTCTCTCTTTTTAAAAAAGATTTATTTTATTTTTATTGCAAAGTCAGATATACAGAGAGGAGGAGAGACTGGAAGATCACCCATCAGATGATTCACTCCCCAAATGGCAGCAATGGCCCGTGCTGCGCCGATCTGAAGCTGGGAGCCAGGAACTTCTTTCCAGGTCTCCTAAGCAGGTGCAGGGTCCCAAGGCTTTGGGCCATCCTTGACTGCTTTCCCAGGCCACAGGCAGGGAGCTGGATGGGAAGTGGAGCTGCTGGAATTAGAACCAGTGCCCATATGGGATCCTGGAGCGTTCAAAGCGAGGACCTTAACCATTACTCTATCGTGCCGGGCCCTCCTCTGTCTTTTTTAATATCTTTTTTTACTTGTGGTATTAGCATTTCTCCATATTCTCACATGAATTTTTGTCTATAGTTTATGGGCAAATGCATTTAAAAATTTTTTTAAGTTCATTGTCATGTAGTTATTTTTAGTGCAGTTTGATATATTCTGTTAACCAATTTTTCTAGGTCTTAAGGGCGTTTTTTGGTTTTCTTGAAATAGCGTTAAAATGACTTACTGGGTTTTCTGATGCTTTGTCAAGAGTTTGACAGAGTTCTTAGGTTGCCTGTGCTTTGTTTTAGGATTTTCTAAATCTCGCAGGTTGTGTTCTGTAGGACTGTAGTCTATATTCCTTGGTAGAAATGAAGGTAAATGTTTTATATTTGGTGATAGTGTTTGACAAGTATGCTTTGACTTTAAATGCATAAAGTATTATATTATAAGGTCCTGTTAGTAATTTAAAAAATTATTTTAATTTTTAGTTTTGTCATACAATTCTGTATAGTCTGGGATTCCCTTCCCCCTGATTTTCATCCCCCCCGCCCCGGATTGATTTTTCCCACATTGTCACAGTAGTACATTTTTCCTAAGGAGTTAAATTCCACCAGCCTGCTATTTAAGTGTGCCCAGATTTTGCTGGCACAGACGATGTTAGACAGTCCATCATCCCATTGTCTAGATCCCTGGTTGTTGTTGGAGTCTGGCTCACTGCTCACCAGTGGCTGGTGGGTTTTCTATTCCCTGTGACACTGCTCTGCCGCCATCGTCTCCTCTCTTTGCAAGGGGTCTGCAGGTCTTTCCCATTGATTGCCTGACCCCTGTCTTGTATAATCTGCTCTCTGTGCTTTACCTTAATGATTCTCCATCATCTTGAGCATGTCTGCACCCTGTGATACCATCTTGATTCTCTATGAGATAGCAATTTTTTCTTTTCATTTTAAAAAAATTTTGTTTTTTTTAATTGTTATTATCAGGTTTAATTTGATTTAATTTGAAAGGCAGATTTACACAGAGAAGAGGTGATCTTCCTTCTGCTGGTTCACTATCCAAAGGACCTGAGCCAGTGCAAAACCAGGAGCCAGGAGCTTGTTCTGGATCTCCCAGGTGGCTGAGGAGCCAAAGAGCTTAGTGATCCTCTGTTGCTTTCCCAGGCCATAAGCAGGGAGTTGGGTGAGAAGTGGAATAGCTGGGACAGGAACCAAAGCCCTTGCTGTCACTTACAGATGGGGCATTAGCCTGTTCAGCCATCACATACTTATTTCCCCCATACTTATCACAGTAGTATGGTCCCTTGATAACAGTTGGAAGTTTAATTTTATGCTATTTAACATATTATGGCATTGTAATATAGGCAAAGATAGAAAACTAGTATATTCATTTTTATTTTTTAAACATTTATTTGCTTAAAGTTTTCTGCTGTTAAGTGAACAGCCAGATCTTTCTGCTTTGAAACAGTAAATAGTCATATTTCGGTAATTTATTGATCTTTTCCTAGTGACTTATGACAGCTTCTATGTGTTCTAGAGCAGGAATAGGAAGCACCTTGATAGTATCCTCATCTGCCTGGGAAGAAAGTAAACTAGAAACTGCATGTATAGAAGGTAAATGTGTGAGATAACACTTGAGATGGAAACTTATCCTTGACTTGTAGATAAGGAAATAAAATTCAGTAGTTATATAGCAGTTAATTTATGGAACTTAGGTTTCACTATGCATTGAAGACATCAAAAAGACTTTGAAGTCTCAATTCAGCATTGTACTGGGCTGCTTCCGTGTGTCTTTCAAAATACCACTCATTTTACCTGTGGCATAAATTAATTTCCTGACAGACACAGGAAAGCAGCGGGCACAACAGTGTGGTATTGCAGTGAATGATACTCCAGCACGGTGACCTGAACTCCAACAGCAGATGGAACTCCGCCAGCAACCACATGGGAAGGGACTTTCACTGGGAGCTTGGGAGGTGAACCCAGACAAAGAACTGTCCGTCCTGCTGGTACCTTTGATTTGACCAGGAGCAGAGACAGAGCAGCAAATCTCAGACGGGCAGTGCGAGAACAGAGCGGATTTCACAGCCTAGTTAGCCCCCAGAGCTGCATTGGGTGCCATTTTGCGTAAGAAGGAAAGGGCAACAGAAAGGATGGAGCATGTGCTGAGCTGGGAGTGAGCTCATTTCTGACTTGGTGAACTGAAAAGACATGGCATTCTACGGGTTCTACCCGGGGCAAGTCTGGGTAGCCCTCGGATCTGACGGCCAGCAGATCAAGAACTATAGTGGTGG